AAAAAAAAAAAAAAAAAAAAAAAAAAGAAAAAAAAGAAAAAGGAAAAAAAAAGGAATCTGTCAATGAGCATTAGGATGAAATTAAGGATGCAATTGGATATGTACCAAATAGCATTTTTCATCCCCTAAAGAAAAAAATGCGTTGTCCATTCATCTCACTTTTTCTCTCCTCGTTAAATTATTTCTAAAATTAAATCAATCATTAATACTTCACAACGAAATTTACTATTCATTCACTTACATTTCTAACTACCAATCATTATTTTACTATTTTTTTTTATCACACTACCGTTTATTATTATTTCTTCATTTACATCATTTCACATTATAATTAATTAACTTTTCCCTCAATCCTTCTTTCCCTTGAGGGGAAAAAAAGGAAAGCATATCTATTTTGCACCCTAATTTTCTTCTATAGATCAATGGTTTAATCTATTTTTTTCATTATTTTTGTAGGTGCTTGGCGAATGAAACCTCTGTCTTGTTGCTTTACTCGCTTGTGCATGGGAATTCAAATTTTCTGGAGTATGTTCTGGTGCGAACAGATCTAGATACACTGGTAAGAATCTGGTACATCAACAATCCTGTTTATGGGGGTTGTCTTATTGGAAAGTACATGAAACGGTCCTTTATCTGATAACATATTGTATATAATTTATCTAATTGAAGAAAAGGCTATTACTGACAGAGAATAAAGGAAATATTCTTACAGTAGTTTTAATGTTGTTTTAGCTATGCATCACATTAGGCTCCTGGATATTACCATATTAAGAATTTATATTCATTTACCGCCAACAATTTGTCGCTTTTAAAACGAAAATACTATAATCTACTGGTTGGTATTAGATTTTCTGTGATCAGAAAAACTAATAAGCATCTATCTCTAGAAGAACACCCTCATAGTTGGCACCCCATTCTGCAGATATGAGTTTTCTAAGAACGAATTCATGGTTTGTCGTGTGAATTGATATTCTTTTTCTTCACTAGCTCTATTTGTTGTATGAATATTGATTTGCTATTGATTTGTTAATGATGAACAGTTGATGCCAATGTTGGAGACTCTTTATAATGCTCAGAGCAGGACATCCAATCATATATATATGGTTCTCGTCATCTTTCTGATACTAAGTCAAGACTCGTCTTTCAATTCCAGCGTTCACAAGCTGGTAAAGATGGTTTTAATTTGCCCGTATTAGTTTCTTGTTGTGAGGTGCACTGTAAGTTAACATTTGCTCTTACAGATGCTGCCAAATGTTCCATGGTATAAAGAACGTATCCTTAGTCAAACTTCCCTCGGTTCCCTCATGGTGATAATTTTAATTAGGACAGTGAAGTACAATCTCTCTAAGCTACAGGTAAGAACGAATGCATTTGTAACATGTACTTCAATTCATTATACCCCTTGTTTATATAAAGTATTTCAGTGTTAACCTAATCATAGTGATGACATTGACATTCTTATGGAAGCAGGATGTCTACCTCCATACAAATTGTCTTGCAACTTTGGCAAATATGGCGCCTCATGCACATAGGCTGAGTTCGTATGCTTCACAACGGCTGGTCAGCCTTTTTGATATGCTTTCACGGAAGTAAGTATTGTCTTCTTGTTTTTTTGCATGTATTTTAATACTGGTGAAGTTAATAATTTCTGTATCCCTATTCTCTCTGATTTGATTTATCAAGTATTTTAGGTACAATAAATTAGCGGAGATTAAAAACGACAAGATGAGCCTTCCAAATGGTGATCCAAGAGGAGACGGCCTTCTGGATGATCTTGTAAGAAGTCCTTTCTCATCGACCATCGCTATATGCAATTTATTACAACTCTGTCTCGGTTTCTTACATACTTACAGCGTATATTTTTAAGCTCGTACTTTGTCCTTGCAGTCAGCTGAGCTGCATATATACACCGATTTCCTGAGACTTGTGCTGGAGATACTAAACGCAATCCTTACTTATGCGTTGCCACAGAACCCGGAGGTATTTAATTTTCATGTCATTACTGAAAGCAAATTGGTGGTGGTTTTAACTTTTAATCTAACTGTTGTATACTTGTATTCAACATTTCTTGCTTATTTTGGCTGTGAATTTCAGGTTGTTTATGCAATTATGCACAGACAAGAAGTGTTTGTACCTTTCAAAAATTATCCTCGTTTTAGTGAGCTGTTGGACAACATATATACCGTACGTGTTTCCATTTCTTGAGTAAATTCACTTCGATAATGTTTCCAGTTTGGGTTGCGTGATAGCGATATTGATAAATCTTATACTATCTTTGTGTGCATCAATTTAGATGAATAAATTCTCTCATTACAGGTTTTAAATTTCTTTAATAGCCGTATAGACGCTCAGAAGATGGATGGAGAGTGGTCGGTGGAGAAAGTGCTTCAAGTGATAATTAGCAATTGTCGATCTTGGAGAGGGGAGGGCATCAAGGTATTATGAACCAAATGCTCCTGTAAACAGCTAATTTAGTGCAAAGTTTCTCTGAAGCTTTATATTCTGACTTTATTTTGTTTTTCAAAGATGTTTGCACAATTACGCTTCACGTACGAACAAGAGAGCCATCATGAGGAATTTTTCATCCCATACGTGTGGCAGTTGGTACTGTCTCGCAGGTATGCTTATCGACCGACACATACATTTCCCAACTTCTTGAGTTGATTCTGTCCTTGTTTGCCTTGACCTTTAAAAACATTTGAAATTTAATCTGAGGCTGTTAATCCTGTGAAGATTTTCAAATAGATCTTCAGTCAGTTTTGGTGGTTTGAGTTACATTGTCTTCTGCAGTGATTTCACTTTCGATCCCAGTAGCATAAATTTGTTCCCGGTGCCTCTAGAGGTAAGAGTATTAATTTCCATTTATTGATTTTTTTTTTTTTAGTTTTTTTGTTTTTAAGTTTCCCTTTTCTTTACGATCTACTGCACCTTTTATTCCTATTATTTTTCCCCAAAGTGTATGTGATGGATTATCAAAATTGGATTGTAGGATGAAATGAACGAGCAGGAGGTCGAGAAACTTCAAAATGGTGAGGTGACAGAAGATGCACAACAGTTAGAGATACCTGTATAGATGTTATTCACCTGGAGTGGCTTTGAGATCATTATGTACATATCCACATGACTATCAGGAATGAAATTCTTTTACTCGTATTTCTCCATTTATAGCTTCATGTCTTCGTTCTTTTGTGGATAAGGTAATGTAAAAAGGTAAGAGCTTTGAAATACATAGTATATTACCGTCATTTGCGATTCTCTAGGAACTTTCAGTCTGTGTTTGCATATTGTTGTTGTTATTAATAGCTGCTTCTACTTTCCTATGGGGCTAGCTGCAGAACATAGAGCTTGATACGCATTCGGTGCATCTGTGTGCGTGTTTGTTCGAATTATTTTTGAGCTTCAGTTTTCCTAGATATTAATCTAACAAAATTTTAGATAAATTTAAAATTACCGAAACCTAAATTGTGTGGATATCATTAATTAATATTAATATAATTTATGAACTATGCAGATTGGCGCTTCAACTTGAAGATTTTTCATTGCTCAGCTTGAGTTAATTATAATTTTTCAATGAGCTGCTAAATCTTGAACATTTCATAGCATGATGTCCTTAGCAGATACTTTATGACAATTTGAATCNAAGTCTTGACATTCTACTACAACTAGTAGTGATTAACATAAATACAATACCTTACACATCACACATACAGATATATACTTTCACTACAGTGAATTCATCCCTTAACCTGAAGGTCCTTAACCTTAACCACAACACGACCTACTAGAGAGCCAAAATCACACAAGAGCACTGCCTTTCACAAACTCAGTGAAGGCCAATGCCACAAGACCAAGCATAGCTAACCTCCCATTCCAAAGCTCGGCATCTGATGTCATCAAATCCCCAGATTTCGACTCAGCCGTCACACCTCTAAACATCGGAATCAAAGATGCAAGTGACAGCAAGACAGTCGTACCCAAGAACCACTGGACCCCACCATTCTGAACCTGTGAGAAAATATCTTGGCCATTAGCCAGCTCAACCCCAATAGCCGCCACAAACCCAATCATCGCCAGCCGTCCATTAATCCTTTCTGGGCCCGGCCCACTGAAGGCTAACACATCTGAGAAGCTGGTGCTCACCTGTGATGTTAAGAAAAAAAAAAAAGCAGAATCAGGATTTTCTAGCTTATTAAGATAAAAGAAATTTCCAGAACAATTCATTCTACATAACGAGGTCTTGGTTATATAGTCAATGATTATGATATGAGCATACATATAAACATGGCTACTGCTGCTTATAATTTTGATTAATAAAATCAAGAATTCTGTAATTTACATCTGTAGGTCTAATTTGAATAATTGAGTAAATACCTTGGGCTTCGGGGGAGGGGTTGGCTTAGGTGTAGGTGTAGCATCTGCTTGAGATAGCTCATTGACTTTATCTTCCTGCTGGAACCAATGAAAGAAAGAAAGAAAAAAACAAAGGGATTTCAAATTAGAATTAAACTACGCACATGTTCATAAATGAGAAAAGAAACAACGAATATAACGAATATATATATATATATATAAAGAAAAAAAAAAGAAAGAAAAGAAAAAACAAAGTTTTACATACCTCGGNTTCTAGTGAGTGAAAATTTCTAGGTAAGAGTGTCTAACGAATCTTGGGGAGACACGTTAGGTGGTGTGCAGAAGACCAAATGTACAATAGACTGGAAGTTGCTCTGTTACTTTATTATGCATGAAATGGTGGGTGCTTTATGAAGTGCGAAATTGCATGGTGGTGGAAAGGGGTGGATATTTATGTATCCACGTAGGTCGCTTATGGCCCGTTAAAAGAGATTTGTCACGTGGGCTTGAATTTTGTCACACATGATTCTAGACGATGACTTGGACTGGGCATTTACCACAAGGCTTAAGGGATGTGGGCCCTATGGAGGGTGGAATTTTGGGGAGAAATTTACTCCCCACACCATAAATTTCAGTTTTTATTACAAGATTAAATATCTATTATAAATATTAGCAATATCTACCTAAAATCATGTTTTTATTTGTAGATATACCATAAATTAATGTAAGCATTAATTACATATTTTAAAGAAACTTATCAGTTTCTCTTCCCTAAATCACGCCTCTTTCTCCTTATCTCTCTTCTTCGTCTCTCTCTTCCCCTCCCTCTATCTTCTTTTTCGTTATCTCACCGCCTCATCTCTCTCTCACTCTGCCAACGACCCAATATCCTCTCCCCCTCATTCTCTCTTGTTTTTTCACTTGTGATCTGTGCAATCATTGAAATTGATCGAGTTTTGTAGACCCAACGATGTACAACGGAATAAGTTTGCAGACCCATCAGGGCTCCAACACCAGCAGCCACGTTCAGGCGAATGTCTTCACCGTGAAGGCGAGGGCGAATAGAGTCGTCACTGGTCCGAGCAAGGATTTCAAATCGGGGCAAGGGGCCGCGGGCGTGATCCGAGGGCCCAACAAGGAGATACTGGAGGACGAACGCAAGAAGCAGATATATCAAAATTTTTTATTATGTTAAGTACATGTTACGTAGATAACTTGATTATGTTATGTATATGTGCATGAATGATATACTTACAGTTGTTTTCAAGACTGTGTATATGCGATGTTTACATATTAAGTATATGACACGAATATATTATGTATATGTACATGAATAATATACTTACAATATCCCGAGTTTGCAACTCTGTAGTTGTTTTCAAAACTGTATATGCGATGTTTATATATTGTATATATTTTGCAGCATTAGTTCATCAAAATAGTTTGATTTCGACAAAGAAAAAAAATCATATTTAACCACGAAATTTACTGTAAATATACAAAAAAAAATACCGGGTTTGTTTTGTATATATCACATTAAACCAGAAAATATCAAATAAACATACAGAAAAAAAAGAGATGTTAATAACACGAAAAATAAGTAAAAAAGAATTTCAAAAACAAAAATTACCAAGTATAATTCGTATATTTTACGGGCTTATATCATCAAGATATAATGATATTCCATCGTGTTGCTTTCTGTATCGTTAAAAGGTGATAATGTTTGAAATTCAATATATATATATATATTTATATATATCGTAGCCATTAGATCGGATGATTTAATGGCTAAAAAAAGACAATGGTATACCTTCATTAAGGATATTTTAGACATTTTTATACCATCTACGGGCCCCACCAGAGCCAACACAACTACCAACCCTTTGACCCTAATTAAATGCAGGCCCCACACACCAACCCCACCCCATCTACTACCCACTCTGTCAAAACATTAATAATGATACACAAATTGAAACGCAAGCTTCCACACACATACACAATCCCACACACACACGCAGCGGCTCGCCGACACCCAGCCCACCGCCACCGTCTGGTTGCCTCCGACACACAGGTACCTCAAGCCGGCACAGTAACGCCGGCAGCCGACACACACGGATACACACTCACGCACAATAGCTTCCATCCTTGCCGGCCGCCTACCGACGCCGTCAACCTTCCCGCCGTCGTCTTCTTCATCGCACGTCCGACGACCGCCGCCCGTCAACCTCCGCCTCCTGTCTCCCTAACTCCTCCGGCAGCCGCACTGGTTCCAGATCCATCCCCGATCTCCACCGCCCGACGCCGTCAACTTTTTCGCTGTCATCTTCGTCATCACACGTCCGACACCCGATGCACTGTCAACCTCCGCCTCTTGTCTCCCTGAATTCTCCGGCCGCCGCACTGGTTCGAGCTACATCCCGGATCTCCGCCGCCGATCTCGACGAACTTAATGTCCTCGGCCACAGCAACTGAGGCACAGTCTTCAAGGTCGACGTCGCGGCAACTCCTTCGCCCTAAAGTCGCCCAAGCCATCGGACCTCCGCCGCCCAAACTCACCCAGCCTTGTCTGGGAAAAGATGGACATAGTTTTTGAGAATTGGATTTATATGAGGGACTTGGTTGTAATTTTGTTGAGTATAGTTATATTACAATTGAGTCTTTGGGTCAAATGTGTAATTTATAAAAACATAGTGTTATTATTATTATTATTATTATTATTATTATTATTATTATTATCATCATCATCATTATTATACATTTGTTTTATACATATATAATAAAATAATAATTAAAAAAGTAAATAAAAATGGTATAAAATATTGAATTAATATAAAAATAATAAAAAATATATATAACAAAATAATATTTTTTTTTTTATAAATTTATGTCGGTTCAATCGTTATAGTTCAATTTGACGATCAATAATGTGCAATCCGTCTAACACTAATGTGCACTCTATGTGTAATTATTTTTTAATGACTTCTCTGAGACTAAACCAATATTGAAATAATTAGTTTTATTGATATGATAATTTAATTAAGATAATTAATTTTACTTTTTTTAAAAAAAAGATAAAGTCATTACCGAACTGAACTACCGATATTATGTAGATATATTTTTTAGATTTATATGGCGTGGTATTTTAGCGAGAATTATCGACGTTTAATTGTGGATTGTCATAATAAAGTGCACCGTGATGTTTTATAAAGTACAACGCATTGTCTAATAAAGTGCAACGTGAAGATCTATAAATTAAAATTGTTGTAAGTTTGGTATGTCAGCATGCTTGTTTTTTTATTTCTTATTTTTGAAACATATGATGTGATGTATGATAAAATATTATGTTGATCCATTTTTTATATTAATTTGTGTTGTATTTTAGCGAGAATTATTGACCTTAATTGTGGAGTGTGTTGATAAAGTGTAGCTTGTTATTTTATAAAGGGTAACGTGTTGTTTTGTAAAGTGCAACGTGTTGTTTTATAAAGTGCAACGTATTGTATTATAAAGTGCAAAAGTATCTTTTTATAAAGTGAAATAATTTGTCAGAACACATATAAATTATATGTAATCGAAACTATTTTTTAATAAATATAATTATACCAATAATTAATTTAAATAATTTAGATATTTTATTAGTTATTACTATTATTATATACTTTGTTTATTATTATATATTATTTTATAGTGTAACTTGTTATTTTATAAAGTGTAATGTGTTATTTTATAAAGACAACATATTGTTTTATAAAGTGCAAAAGTATTTTTTTATAAAGTGAGATAATTTGTAAGAACGCATATAAATGAGGTGTAATCAAAAATCATTTTTTTAATATTTATAATTGTACAAATAATTAGTTAAAATAATTTAGTTTATTAGTTATTACTATTATTATGTAATTTGTTTATTATTATATATTATTTTTATAGTGTAGCTTTTTATTTTATAAAGTGCAACGTGTTATTTTATAAAGTGCAACATATTGTTTTATAAAGTGCAAAAGTGTTTTTTTATAAAGTGAAATTATTTGTAAGAACACATATAAATTATGTGTAATCGAAAACTATTTTTTAATAAATACAATTGTACAAATAATTAATTTAAATAATTTAAATATTTTATTAGTTATTACTATTATTATATAATTTGTTTATTATTATATATTATTTTATATTATCTTTATATTTCATATTATTTTTATCTAATAATTAGTTTATCATTCTTAGCACGGGATACTGTAACAGCAAAAACTAAGACCCCCTACTACCTGTTTCAATGCGCTGCTATAATACATTGTTTGAAAAAACATAAAAAATAATTTTTTAATAACTTTCAATAATTACAGATTTGGCATGTGGGCTTAATTGAAATATAATTGAAATTCCTTAAATTACAACTAGGTCCCTAAACTTAGTCTAATTCTCAAAAGAAAATCCCAAATCTCACAGCCCAAAACTCAAACCCGTCGCCGCTGCCAGCCGCTTGCTTCCGTCGTCGCCCCAGCCGCCTAGCGTGTGCCTTCAGCATCAGCCTTCCACCATCTCGCCGCCCACCCGTTCGCCATCCTCTGTCAGACTCCCATCCCAGTGGGTTGTCGCCGGTCACGCGAGTTCCCCGCTGCACTCATCGGCCTTCCTCCATCGTTGACGACGTACGAACACGCCAGAGCTCTCTGACGGCGTACGCTCACGCCGGGCGGCGGCTTCGGGGGTGGGTATGGCGACGGCGGTTTGCTGTCTGAAGGCACTCGCGAGGCCTTGCTACGGCGGATCTGTTGGTGGTGGCCGCCGTGTGTGGTGTGTGTGTGTGTGTGTGTGTGAGTTTCAGATTTGAGATCTGAATCGTGAGGAAGAAAGTGATGAAAGAGAAAAAGTGGTTAATTGATGTGTGGGTCCTACTCTTATGTGTATTGACCAACTTATCCTTATTTATTGGTAAAATACATATATTTGACCATACTAGATCAAATAATTACAAGATTACCATTAATGATTGACCATAGTTTGACTTCATCATCACCATTGATATGGTTGATCCGATGGTACAGGTTCATTCTTATTTCTTTCATTATCTACCATTCTCATATGATCCCTTCTCTCGCTCTATATATATATATATATATATATATATATATATATATATAGGGTTGAGATCCGGTGAGAATGACTCTTAATGCGAGAAATGAGAATAAATCGTGGTCATTAGATCAAATGATCTAATGGCTAAAAAAAATCAAACTTATACATTCATTAAGATATTTTAGTCATTACCATTACACATCATCATCCACCTCACATGACACATCACCTAACACACACACACAACACACGCACACACGTTTTCAACACACGCACACACACGTTCAACACACGCACACACACACACAAACACAGACAAAATACACACACACACTAATCTCACTCACACACACACACACACGCGCACAGATTCACACAGTCGGTCGCCCACACACTCCCGCCGGCGACCTCCACAACACTCCGGACAACTGCAGAATCGCCGCCATTGGCGACGGCAAGGACTTCGGAGAATGGATGCCCGACCACCGCCACGAAATCTGCCGCCGGACATCGCCCACTGACCACTGCACCCCCCATCCGCCGCCGTCATCAGCCACATCGGCGCACCTTCACGTCGACGCCGACCACCGTCATGGGGAGTCGACTCTTATTGGAGTGCCGATCTCGTCGGCGACCACGGCCAGCAGGGGAACCCTCAGTCGCCGACTGCGGATGTCAGGGCGCGGCGTCTGGCGTGAGGAGTGGCGAATCGGCCATATCTGGTGGGTCTAGGCGACGACGACGCCGTTTGCAACGGGCGACGAGGTGGCTGAGCGGCGGCGAGAGAGATGGGTAGAGGGAGAGATGTGGTTTTCATTTTGAGAATTTGATAGTATTCAGGGACCTATGTGCAATTTTGATAAAAAGTGATTGTATTCAATTTAGCCATATGCCTAATTTGTAATTTAGAAAAGGTATGTACAACATAACATTTTTATATATTATTTTATATTCATATACATTGAAATAATAAATAAAATATTAAATAAGAATAATATAAAATAATAAATAATATATTTGAAATAATAAATTAATTTTTATGATATAAAAAATAATTTATTTTTTTAGCTTAATTCGATATACAATTATGTATATTAAAATTACTTTTCGAATACACATAATTTATATATAAATGTATAAATTATCGCACTTTATATAGAATAATCTTGCACTTTATAAAATAACACGTTGCACTTTATATAACATGATTTAAATGACCGATCGATCGAACTATGTATTATCGCACTTTATATAGCAGAATATTGCACTTTCAACACGTTGCACTTTATAAAACATGTTTTAAATAACCGATCGAACTATATAAGAAAATATTATTTTTTATATTTTATATCTATATATATGTGTTATTTGTTTGCATCAAACAACAATATAAACTATTAACTAAAAAATTTACTAATACGAAATATATTTTTTTATAAAAAAATAATTGCACTTCGAATACGCATTAGTGTTAGACTGATTGCACGTTAATGTTTTCAATATTGCACTTTAATGTTAGACGGATTGCACATTAGTGAATGTCAGATTGCACTATATCTACCGAATCCGACTGACTTGGTTTTTTTTATTCGAATATTATGTCGGATCGATTACGTGTGTTTACCTTTAAAATTTTAGTTATTTCGGTCTGATATAATTTTTTATTTTTTTATTTTTGAAATAACCAAAATAACTGGACCAACCAAACCATATAAACAAATACTATTTTTTACACATCAGTATGTTGCACTTTATAAAAAATCGAATTACAGCCTTTTTAAAATTGCAAATTAGCCCCTTTAATTTATCTAATTTACATAGAAAAACCCCACAATTCACAAGTGGATGAAATAGATCCAATCATGGACATTTCTTCCTTCTCGGTTGTCCATCGACTTCAGCCCACCGCCGGCGTTGATTCACACAGAACACGCAGCCGTCGCCGGACTGCCGTCTCCGTCGCCATCGCGTCGCGCCGCAGTCCGCCGCTCATAGCATCGTCACCTTCAGCAGACGCGTCTCCTCGTCTTCCTCCGCCGCCGGCTCGCCGCCTCGTCTATGTCAGTCGGATCGACGCCTCGTCTCCGTCCACAAGAACATATCTTCGTCTCAGTCGTCACAGCGTCACAACGCCGTCATCCACCGCCGTCCACTACCGCGTCGCTTCGTTTCCGTCAGCCGTCGTGGCGCCTCACCGCCGCGTCGCTTCGGTTCCGTCAGCCGTCAGCCGCCGTGTTGCCTCGCCACCATCAGTCGCTGTCTTTGGTCGGAGTGTGTGTGTGTGTGTGCAGAGGTTTGTGTGTGTGTGCTGCGTGTGGGTAAAAATCATGTGAATGTGTGTTAGTGTGTGAAAGAGAGTGGGAGGTTGTTGATGAAGGGGTGGGCCCCACGTGGTGTGGTGTTGATAATTGTGTTAATGTTTAATGACCAATTTGTCCTTATTTTGTGGTCAAATGTAAATATTTGACCAATGATTTAACACTTATTTACAAAATTGCCACTCATGTTTGACTGTCATATTTAATATTTGACTTGATCAAGACCATTGATATATTGGATCCAATGATCCAGACTCATTCTCATTTCTCGCATTAAGAGTCATTCTCATATGATCCCTTACCTATATATCTTTACTCTTAATATATAAAAAGATAGCATATGCCTTATTTTTTTGACACGTGGCTTCATTTTACAAAGCCACTTCGCTCATATTTTTTAAAAAGTCGTTCTGGATCGTTGATTTTAGGGCTTAAATCTCATCCGTTCGCTAAGGCTTTAAATATTTTCCTCTCTCATTCTTGCCTCTCGCAGGCTCGCGGCAGAGCTCGCGCGCTCTCTCTCTCTCTCTTCCTATTGTTTCTCTCTCCCTTTCCTAATACTTTCAGCATTTTCCTATAATTTTCAGTCGTTTCATTGGGTTATATTTGTTCATTTTTGGTGATGCAGATTTTCTCTCCAACGTGGGGTGATTTTTGTACGCACACAATGTCTGATCTATAGTCCATGGTAATTGCTCTATTCATGGCCTTTCCTCGCAGACAATCGATCTTGAATGTGTTATTTTTTTGCCGCATGTCTTCGTTTTTCTGTCGTCCCTGTGTTAATTTTTCTTTTTTCAAAGAAATATATTGACCTAGGTTTGTTTTTGGGGTAATTATTTTTGTTTCTTTTGTAGGCGATGTTATGGGATCCGATACCATCGATTGATAATCGGCATCGAAGGGCTCCAAAATCAGGAAACTTTATTTTTTTTTTTTTTTTGTGGAATTTTAGGGCTTATGTTGAGGTTACATGCTTTTAAAATAAATGAGGTTTTATGGGTTTTGGCTTGGTTTTGTTGGTGCTTTGTGTTCTTTACAGAAATTGATGTTTGAGTGCTTTTTATTCTTTTTAGACTAATGGATGTTTCATGTGATGTGAGATTTTTTCTTTTTGAGGTTGGCAGTGATGGCGATGGTGGGGGAAGGGTTGTGCAAAATTCTTCTGTTCATTGTCTGTTTTGTACAATATTTTAATATGCTACAGTATTGTGTAAGTTATAATCGATACATTTAGTTTATTTTCACGGTGTATCAATATCTTTGAGTATAGCTTATGGCAGCTTTTAATGTATTTTTGTAAATTACATAGTGTGAGATAAGTCTGACACTTTCTACATATCAAGTAAAATCCATTCATTTGTATCTATTCCATTTTTATGTTTTAGAAATCAAAAGACAACATAGCATCCCTATTCTCACAAAAATATCTACCTTTTATATCATCTTTTTTTTAAAGAATAGCACCTGCTGTGAACTCATACATAGCTGCATCTATCAACTTTCTGTTTTTGGTCTCTATATTATGTGTTTGGTGAGTTTGTTTATTTAGTTTTTCAAAAATGTCTGGTATATTTTTGTTGGTTTATCCAACTCTAAAGATTTCAAGGTTTCTATGTGAACTCATACGTAGCTACATCTATTAGGTTTCTCTTATTTTCATGTATATTATGTGTTTGTTGAGCTTGCTTATTTAGCTTATAAAAAGTTTAGTATATTTTTGTAGGTTTATTCAGGTGTTACAGATTTTAAACGTTCTATCAGGGTCATGTAAATCTTTTTTTTGGTAAAAACTAACATTGTTTTTGTTTTTCAATATATGATGTATGTGTACTTGCGTAGTGTAAATTTGACCGCACCCTTTTTTATTTGTATATTACCACTTATTGTTATCCTTGATTTGTTTAAATTTTAATGTCTTAACGTATTTGCTGCCTGCAAGCTATTTGATAAGTCCCAGCTGATTGGCTAGAATTAGGTGCATGTTGATATTATCCATACGTGGTTTGAAAGGATGCTTCATTGTTTATGATTTTAAAGGGTTGTTTGATGTTTATAAATTAAGCTATTTTTGTCGTCATTGACTCTGCTTACCTTATTGAGCACATATTCTTGCTTTTGCAGGTTGTTCCAATTGCTGAGTACGTTCATGCTTCCTGGATTAGGACTTTGAGGTTCAAAGTTTTATCATTGTTGTTTGGTTGCTTCAAGTCAGTAGCTCTTACATTTTCCTAACTAATTGCTTAATAATTTATTGTCTTTGTCATGTCAGGTGCAAGTGTTTATGGCAGGGAAAGAGATAAAGATAAGGAAAAGGACCCAGAGAGGGATAGGGAGAGAGATCTTGAGGGCAGTGTGTGTGTGTGAGAGAGAGAGAGAGAGAGGCAAAGAGAAGAGCAGAGATAAAGAGAGGGAGAAGGAGTGGGATAGGCATAGAGACAAGGAGATGGAAAATATTAAACATATAAGTAATGATGAAGGTGAGTGGGAGAAGGTTAAAATGAGCAGTAAAGATAAAGATAAAGAACAAGGTGAGGACGAAGATATGAGTAGCCGTAAACATAAGGATGAGAGTTATGGCACCGGGAAGGCTATATGAGAAGGATAGTCATTTGAAATTGGATAGTGATTATTTTCGTGATAATCAGTTTGCACAGCTAAGGTGCATTTAGATAAGTTTGATGATGAGAATGCATCCATCAGGAAGCAAGAAAAGTCTAAGGTTGTGGCTACATGTAAGTGCCAATAAGCATCAGAGTCGTTTGGTATATTTCCTTTAGCTTTCATTGCTGAGAGTATATTATATTTTGAATAAGAATTATGAAGCACTACATATGCTAAAATTCTCCTTATGCTTAATTGTTTAGGAAATTTCTGTAAAGAACCTTTGTTATTTTTCTCTTTCCTTTTTCCCATATCTTTGTTGTATTTTTTTGATGTCATCTTCTTTTTGTGTTTTTGGGCCCATTGCTGCAAACTTCGCTATTCTCATGTTTATTCCAGTTTATGGTTCATTTATGCTCTATATTTTAAATGGTAAGCGTGAGACGGGGTAAGAAACAACAGTTTTCGACTCTAGAGGCAGGCACTACTGTGAAAGCGAATTATATGGGTGCAGTTAACCTTTTCTTTTTTCCTTAACATTTTTCCTTGATCTCTCCCTGTCTTTATGACGTAGGTACTACTGTGCATAGAAGGATTTTGTTGCATAAAACTGCAGCTACACGCTTCAGAGGTTAAGGGAGAATGTTGCGCTTTATAATTTGTATGCCTACATGTAAGTGCAGGTATTGTTATTTAGCCTTTTTTAGTCATGATTTGAATCTGTTTGTATTTGAGAAATTGGTTATTGACATATAGATATTGCCCTACAAGTTAGATGTGGAATGCCAAGGTATCTACAACGTTTTCTCATTTAAATAAATTGGGAATTATTTTGACTTAAGTAACCTATGGTAGACTAATGGTATTATAAGTTATAGCTATTATATAATTGAGAAATCAATCTATGTGCTTATTGATCATTTGTTGCCGGTTTACATATGAAACCTCTTGCTTTTTCTGGGAATGAGAAGCAACAAAGTACATAGTTAGTTGGTTTTATTACATGCAAAAATCCACTGGCTCAAGAAAACGAGTAGGAATTTTATATATCAGTGTTTGGATTTTCATCTGCATGAAATTACAAAAAAATCTATTACCCAATATTCCTGCCATGTCATTCACTTATTTATATTCTGTCGCGTCGCTCCACAGATAAACTATTTAGTTTTACCTGCAAAACAATGATGTTTTATACTGCACAATACGGAGATGTTTTGGCTTAGATGATCTGGAATTTGTTGTTCACTTCGAAGAGAGTCTACTTCTTCTCTCATTTTTCTTACTCTACTATTAATTTCCTGTTGATTTCAACTGTGTTTTCTTCATAAATTATCAAAAAATGTTAGTATTCTTTCTTTGTTGTGTCTTTTAGTTACCCGTTTTATGAATTTAATTTTATCAATTTTCCCTACTTTGTTTAGAAACTCTACTGATTTTTTTATTTCTTTTACTTTGATGTAGTTTTAATTTCTATGCTAGATATGTTTGAATAACTTCATGTTCGCGTTTCGACAGGTATTCATCTTAAGTTTTTATCTAATCTATTTGCAGCGAATTTGAAGTTCTTACAATTATTCAGTTACTTTTTAAGTATTATTATTCATTTTTATTTATTAGGTTAGAAATGGTGTTAGGATTTGTATGCATATATACAATGCGATTGCTCCCTCGCTTTCGCAACTAATCTACTTTCACGAAACAGGTAACGGACAAAGAGTTCTTCAGTCCAACGCTGAAAAATGTTCTTACCTCCCTCACTTCACGTGAAAAGCCTACAACAATTGCATCTTCGGAATCAACAGACAAAAAACGAATCAGCTTCGACAATCAACAATCTTCCACCCCAGAAAGCAGCATCCCATTTACCCATATTCCTGAATCATCCACCCAACAAACTCATCAAACCAGTACAATATGTGATGCAAGCCCGACAAAGAAAAGTCGTCCAAAAATGGATTAGCTCCTGCATATTAAAACTTTTGGGAACCACAAATTCTATGGACCATATCTTTTGTATTTTGTATCTACATTGCCCACTATTTCAGCCATCTATTCACATATAGATGTTGCTGCGTTCTGTAGCTTCACTATATGCCATACAAACTAAACTTTTGTGTTTGCCAATTGTATTGCCTAGACTTCTAAACATCTGTTTACAAATAGATGTTTTTGAGTTCTAATCCAAACTTGGTATATTTTGGTGTTTACAAATAGATGTTTTTGAGTTCTAATCCAAACTTGGTATATTTTGGTGTTGTCTGGTAACTACTGTGACTTCTTTTGATGCTCATATGTTATGGATTCGTATTTCACTAATGTGATAGTCACTCCCTTATTGTGTTTACCTCTTCACCTCTTGATAGCCATCAAATGTCTACCTAGCTTGGGCCGGCTGTGCATGGCACAGCCGTAGCCTTCTAGTATATATATATATATATATATATATATATATATATGAATATTGAATTGAACAACATCCTAAATATTAGGATATACACTTGCCATGTATTTGTACTTTTTCTTTTAATGCGAAAACTAAATCCCATTATGTCCGCAAATTAAGGAAGGATGATCTTTTTAGTTTTGGTAACCAATATGTTGCATTATCACAAATAAATGTCATTCATTTGGTAATGATGCAATAAAAATTTATCTGCTCGTATGATTGCAATTAAACTCAATTCGCGGTGTAGATGTAAAGTTTACCAATTTTGGGGGGCATTTGCCACAAAAGAATATTATGGCAGGCACGAGATCTTTAAGAAATATTTGCAAATATACTACCATATTATTTTATTAACAAAATTAAAACAACTACACAAAGTAATTGCACTCCTACGTGATTTTTGTGCAATTTTCTATTTCATTTTTTCATTTTTTTAAAAGGTAAGAGGTGTTTTTTCTTTTTTTTGTTAAAGAAAACTCCAATATCCCTTTAACGATGCACGCCACCTTCAACCAATCTCTCTTTTCACATAACTTTCCTCTCGTCTTTCATGTGAGTCTTCTCTCTTATTTTAATTTTTTCTCTCATCTTTCACGCTATGGCGAAAATTGACCAATCCAGAGGCAGTCATCATCACGACGAAGGAGAAGCCCCACAACCGAGATCCAGTTCTCGCCTCCTGAAGTCGACCGCAAGCTTGTAGAGAGGTAGATTCAATTGCAAAATAATTCTCATACCAGAGGTGGTTCAACTTCGAGTTATGGTGATCGACGTCAGTCGTACGAAGGTATTTGGAATCAGATCTGAGGACCAATTACCGATTTGGCAGTGACAGCCCCAGGCTTAAGGCTAGGAGTCGCCAGTATGTGTATATTGTGTGTGGTTATGTGTGTGTGTGTGTGTGTTACGTGCGTATTAGTGTGTGTATTGTGTGCAGGAGTGTGTGTGCGTGTGTTTATTGTGTGCGTGCGTGTGTTTGTGTATGGGGAGTGCTGAGGAGGCGTGTGTATTTGTGTGTGAAAGAGATATAGGGAATGAGTGATAGGGATGAGGTAGCAGGGGGTCCCACTAGTTGTGTGTTAAAGTTTCTATATTACCCTTAATGAAGGTATAAAAATGCCCTTTTTTAGCCATTAGATCATCCGATCTAATGGTCACGATTTATTTTCATTTCTTTCACTAAGCACCATTATCACGTGAACCCAATTCTAGATATAAATATAGATATAAAATTATGGGTTTTGTTGCACAATTTCCTCTTCACAAAATCTCTAACTTGATAGTAGCATCACTTATTTCATAGATATTACTATAGAACTTCATTTCCCCATAACTTTCAAGGCACGCTTAACTATATCTAGTCCCCATGTTCTTATAATAGTTCTGCAAAAATATGACGATAAATCCCATATGCAGTTTCCAAATCGTACTGATACATACAATTTCAAAAATATCATTTCTGAATTCAATCATATCTCTAGTTCTATATCCACCAATGTCTGCAAGTATTGAGAGATTTGTTGGAATATCACCTGTGAGTTCTCCTACATTGATTCTATAGGGTAAATGAGCTCAGTTTATAAGCCTAGTGGGCTACTCCTCTCATCACCAATTGCTTTTGGGATGGAACCTCACCAAGGCACATCTAGGCTCACATGGTGCGCTTCATCTGGTGGGACCGCACCCTCTTCCTCCGGTTCTAATATGGTATCAGAGTGGGCCTGTCCTAGGACCTGCAATGACTCTCTCTACCCGGCCTGCTCTGGGCTTGGGCTTATCTCTCTACCTGGCCTGCTATGTGAGTTTGGGCTTACGAATGACTCACAAGTGAGGGGGCGTGTTGGAATATCACTTGTGAGTTGTCCCACATTGATTCTATAGGGAAAATGAATCTATAGTATAAGCCTAGTGGGCTACTTCTCCTATCACCAATTAGTTTAGAGATTGAACCTCACTATGGTGCACCTAAGCTCACCCTCTTATGATGCACTTCTAGACATGGCCAAAACCCGGGCCGGGTCGCCGGGCTTAAAAACACTGACCCTGAACCGGCACAGACCTATACTCGTGCCGGGTCCGTGTCCGGGCCGGGTCCGTGCTTTTTTCAAAAAAAGTATAAAAGAATAAAAAAAAAATTGAAAAGAAGGGTCATCGACCCGGCCCGGCCCAGCCTTAACCCTCCGGGCCGAGTCATGAAATGGATGACCCTTACACGGCCCGTTTGAAATTCGAGCCGGTCTTGGACCCGTGGTCAACGGGTTTGACCGGGCCGGGTCGCGGGCCGGACGACCCTTTGGCCATGTCTATGCACTTCATTTGGCGGGACCGCACTCTCTTCCCCCGGTTCTACTAAGATTCATAACTTAATACATTTTTTAATTCTTTATTGGTAAAAGAGATCTCTTCCAATACAACATATCTCAACCTATGTTGCAATAGTTGCCTAATTGAAATAAATTTGCTTTGATCAGATGAGATGAATGTAAACAAACGAGTGATGAGTGATCGAGTACCGTCTTAATCACACGACAACCTTTGATCCATAACATCGATCTTGTGTTAGCAATCACGATATCCCGAAGGAATTCGTCTCATTCGCCCTTTTATAGGGTTCGATATGAAAGAAGAAAAAAATGTATAATTTCGAGCAAAAATAAGATATAACAACCATCCTATGGTGTGTGTGGAATATAGAATAAGGAAAATGTGTGATTAAATAACTTTCCAAATAGAGTAGTTAAACGAAACGAGCAGCTTGTGAGCTCGACTCGGCTCGTTAAAATTTGAGTTTGACGCAATTTGTTTGATAAACGAGTCAAACTCGAACTCATTTTCACAGCTCGTTTAGTTAACGAGTTGAGTTTAACTTGATAAGACTCGTTAAAACTAAAAAAAAAATATTTTATATAATATTTTGTAATTTGGCTCGACTTATTTAAAGTCCTACTACCAAAAGTTTCAACTAAAAAGAGCCTAACAGTTAAAACATTTTTTTTTTTCAATCAAAAGAAAAATGTATTAAAAGAAACGAAAATTCTGAAAGGAAGGGTCAAGGAATTTTGAACACGTAGAAGCATCCAATAACATTCGTCCACGTGTTAAAAGCAAAACAATGTCCAATGACACGGTATAGCAAGATCATCGTCGACGAAAGACTTGAGTCTAGTCTTCATTCAAAAAACCTGAAAGTCCGAGTAAAACCCGGAAATCCAACCCAGATCTGGTTTCATGAAGAAGAAAGGTGGAATTATCAGGTGCGGCGCGGCCGCGTATTCTTTCTTGTTGCTCCTTCTTTTGAGCACGGCGAGCCGTATCTCGGCGCTGTCCGTGACGGTGGACGACGTTGAGTGCATATACGAATACGTATTGTACGAAGGCGACACGGTTTCGGGGAATTTTGTGGTTGTAGATCATGATATCTACTGGGGCAATGATCATCCCGGCATTGACTTTACTGTATGTTTCTTATCTCTACTATTTTATGTGTATTATTTCCGCGTATTATCTTGTCTTGCTCTGTGAAATTGAATTGGATTTGTGCGAGGATGGGTCGAAAGATTGAAACTTTGTGTTCTTAGAAAACAATTTTGTTTGACATTATGTATTCTGGACTTGGTATGTTGGTATTGTGACCCAAATGAGATGTTTGAAGTTTTAAGAGGCTTCGTATTACACAGATTTTGGACTTTTGAAGGCTTTTATATACTTGTGGTTATAGCTATTACGTTTGAATGAAACAACTGATATCAACACCATCAAGCTAGTTTTTCTTTTTAAAAAAATATTAAACTGAAAGGAGTTATGATAGAAAACATCAACTATTCACAAGAACAAAGAACAATTTTTTTATAGACTAATTCTCTATAAAATTATGAGTTAGCCATAAAAATTGTAGTTCAAACTTAGCCTTCGTGAACAAAACTTGGTTCTGCTTGTCAAAACTCAAGCTCAGCTCATTTGTGTTCTTAAATAAAATGAGCTCGAACAACTAATCGAACTTGATTATTAAACGAATCAAAGTGAGTTTGTTCACAAACTACTTATTTTTTAATTTCGTATTTTTTTTAAAACATACAGTTATGTCGAACTTGTTTGCAAATATATTTTGTTTTCACAAACAACTTGTTTAAGGTTTTAGGTTTATCAAACGAGCAAGTTGTTTCGAGCTTTCATGAGATTCAACAAGTCGAACTCAAGCAATCTTATATTTGTTTATTAAATGAGCACAAGCTCCAACATGAGATACTCGTCTCAAATGCAGTGACACTTATAATCATGATATATTTATCTAATTATTGATTAATTTTATTTTTTTATATTTTTCTATCATGTTGCAGTATTATAAAAATATTATTATATTTTTACAAGACACAGTCATTGTCAAAAGGCAATAATTATATCTTCTAAAGTTATAAATGAATAATTTCATATCAACAAATAACCGTTTAGTAGATAATTCACATATTTTAATACTTGAAAACATAAATTTACAAACAAAAAGGGAGAGAAATAAATTCTCGGTAGGTGCAAACTATACAAATATTAAACATTTAAAAATTGTAACTTAATAAGTTAAACTTATTATAACAAACAAATGAAAGGATAAAAATATACACACATAAAATAATCATAATAAAAAATAAATAAAATAAAAAATCATGTTAAATATTCGTGATGACAAAATAAATTATACAAGCTATCAAATTAAATGAGTTAAATAATAATGTATGAAAGTGATATAAGATAAAAACACGTGTGCATTGATAATATAGGAGAAAACTAGTCTGAAGAGAGTCACTTGAGTCACGTAAGTCCGATAAAATCTCACCAATTTGATGAGATTTCTGTTAGGACTTTGTATTTATAATTCTATTAAAAAGGCCTTATAATTTAAAAAGCCTCTTACAGTTTTCCTACTTTGAATACCGGGTAATTTATAGACTCTCAAGAAGTTTTAATTGAATATCTTGAAACTTTTAGATATGAAAAATGCTACATTACCAACCTAGTGTACAACTGGGTTGACAACACAAGTGAAAAACATCCACTTGTGTATTTTTTTTTTTTTTTTTTTTTTTTTTTTTGAATATTTTCACTTGTGTTGTTAACCTAGTTGTATAGTAAGTTGGTAATTTAGCATTACTCTTTAGATATTTATAAGAAAAGTGTTTAAAAGTTTCAATTGAATACATGTGAACTTTTTAGAAGTCTCAAAAAATTCTAATTGAATACACCAGAATTCTAAGAGTCTTAAAAAGCATTTAAAAGTTTCAATTGAATGCACTATTAATTTGGTTATTCTTGGCTATTGAACTTTAAGTTTGGCAGTTTTCATTGGGAGTTTGATTAAATTTGGTTAGGTTTTGAATTTTAGAAGAATTATGTTGGTGATATTTATAATGTAGTTGCACATTGCAATTTAAGAGGGTGTATTCAATTGCAACTTTTAAAGACTTTTTAAATTCTTGTGTTTTCGATTAAAACATTTTGAGACTTCTAAAAGATCTACCCATATTCCATTGAGATTTTTAAGACTTTATAAATCTATAAAAGTCTCGAGGCATTCAATTGAAACTTTCTAAGTTTCTAAAAGTCTGTGTGAGTCACCATGTATTCAAATGTATTCCAAGTAGAAAGACTTTATTGGACATTTTAAATTGAAAGATTTTTGAAGACTTTTAATAAAATTATAAAGGCAACCTCCTAGTAGAAATCTCATTAAATTGGTGAGATTTTGGTGTACTTACGTGACTCTTCAACCTTTTTTTTTCCTATATAATTTAATGTACACAACTATATATCTTCTTATTCCTTTCTTATTTAATTAATTTACTCATTTAACTTGATAGCTTGTATGACTTGTTTTTTTTTCATCATAAATGTTTAACTTATATTTTTTTTTTATTCTGGTTATTTTGTTGTATGTTTATTACTATCCTCTCATTTCCTTGCGTTGAATTTAATTACTATTCGCTTGGTAGAAGTTGCAGAGGTGAGAATGTTGAGATGAATGTGTGTGTATACTAAGTTAGATAAGAGTAGAAATAAAGTTGGGGTTAGATAAGATTAGAAATAAAGTTGGATAGCGCCCCTAGAGGAGAAAATGAGAGAATCACGATTAAGATGGTTTGAACATGTGCGTAGGAGAGACTTCTTCGAGGCCTCGGTGAGAAGGGTAGAAACATTAGAATTAAGAACGAAAATTAAAAGGTAGAAGGGTAGACCTAAGAAAACTTGGAAGGAAACAATAAAAATGATTTGCAATATTTAAATTTGAATGAGGATATGAGTTTTGATCGAACACGATGACAACATGTGATCCATATAGCCGACACCACTTAGTGAGATTTTAACGTCTTGTTGTTGTTGTAGTAGTAGCTTGGTAGAAGTTCAGATAATCAAAAGTTTGCAAGTTATTCCAGTTACATATACACTTTGTTTAGCTCAGATGCTTCTATATATTTCTTGAGCAATATACGGGAATTGTGAGGATTGCTGAAATTTGTTCTCCATGCTGTTTTTAATATATGTTCAAAGCGATATTGCGCTTAAAGTTATACTCAATGCTGCTTGTTATAGTGGTTGGACCCTTTATCAAATTAAATCAGAATTTCTTTCATTCTCCGATTGAAAATGATGTAGGAGATGTTTGAAAATAGTTTTTTTCTGGAAGTGATTGTTCTACTTATGAATTGTGGAGAAACAGAGAATTTTTGGCAATGCCTAATTCATTGTTTATTGGATCAATGGGTGGAAGAATAAGTACTCTCTGATAGTTAGATGTTACTGAATTGACGTTGATGGACTTGAATTATAATTAGTAACATCTGTCTGGATGCAGTTGTTAATTAGAAAAGCTAATAGCAACCTTTGCAATCTGATGCTCTATTTGCGCCATCACATTTGTATTCTGCACTACTTTGGGGATGTAAGGAATTACAAGTTTTTGCGTGGATAAAGTTGTATTATAATATTAACACCATATAGAGTTGCTTACAATTTTTTGATTTATGGGATCCGTCAAAATTATTTGGTTAGCTTGTACTGTTCATTGAATGCTTTTTTCTCTCTCTCTTTTATATATATACTGGATCCTCTTGAACATGTTCTCATATCTGCAAAACCCAAGGCCGTTTCACTTGTTCTCCACCACCAAACAATTAGATCTCTAATTATGATTATAAGACTGAAAAGTAGTATATGTTTTGGGACCGGACATTTTCAACTTGAGCTCGAGCTCAATTGAAATCTAGTTAGGATGTTGGATGGGTAAATTGCTCGATACCAAATTTTCCCCATTGTCATTAGTTGTTAGTGTAGTTTCTTTTGGGGATTATGTATTCAGACTTCAAAGCTCACATGTTTTTGCCTGTTTGGTAGGCGTTCGCATAGCTTGACATAAGGACAACTTTAATCTCTGAGAAAACTAATGTATGAAGCAGTACTATTAATTTTTAACTTTAGATGAGAGCAGTAGCTCAAACTAATTGATGATTTGATTATTCGGTTGATTTGCTTGATTTAGGTGACATCTCCATCGGGTAATACTGTACACACGTTGAAAGGAACATCTGGAGATAAATTCGAGTTTAAGGCTCCGAAAAGTGGAATGTACAAATTCTGTTTCCATAATCCTGAATCCACACCCGAAACAGTCTCTTTCTACATTCATGCGGGCCATATTCCCTCCGAACATGACCTGGCGAAGGATGGTATGTCTTTAACTGATGTTATTGCATTCTTGATATTGTTTACACATTTTTCGTTCACTAATATAATAAAATTTTGTGGTTCTTCTCTTTATCCCACCTGTTTCGATGTTTACAGAGCATCTGGACCCCATTAATGTTAAAATCGCTGAATTGCGGGAGTCACTTGAATCTGTTACTGCAGAGCAGAAGTACTTGAAAGCACGTGATGCGCGTCATCGGCATAGTAAGACTCTTTTCTTTTTCTATTTCATGTAACTCTTTTTTGTTCCCTATTAGTGTATTCTCTCAAAGAATTTCTTACATTTTGTTTAATTAGTATCTTAACCACATGGAGGAATTTGGCACTAGAATGTGGATAAAATCAACAAGTTGATTGGTCTGTATAATAGCTATCGTGTGTATTACACCACTGTGCAAGAAATATTGTACATTCTCATAAAACTATCCCAGAAATTAGAAAATGCCCAACTGCATTGGATGGGCTCAATCAACCTTCTTTATGAATAGTCAATTTTTTATTATATAGTGCAGTAAATTTTTATTTTTCAGTTCATCAGTATGACAATGCCAACAATGCTCTTGAGACTGTATTCCTGCAAATTAGCATATGGTTTATTATTTGTCAATTTGTATTGATGAGATACTAATGAAGGAGACACCTGTGGTTGGATATTTTTCCTTGTACTATATTTCATTTATTAACACTGAAGTGTGTTTCTTGTTTCAGCAAATGAAAGCACAAGAAAGCGTGTGATATTGTACACAGTTGGGGAATACCTTCTGCTTGCACTCGTGAGTGGGTTACAGGTTGTGTACATACGTCGCTTGTTCAGCAAGTCAGTCGCATATAACCGTGTTTGATGAAATTTGCCCCTGAAAAGATTAGATTTCCATGTGAAAGTTGGAGATGACTGCCTGTCCCAAATTATATAGGAGGTCCTGTGTACTTATATGTGTTATTTTTTTGACATGGTTGGGTATGCATTGGATTTTCTGCCACTATTTAATGTATTTTAAAAATCAAAATGTTCAGCTCCCAATAATGAGTCGTTTTACAGCCTGAATTATGAGGCCCAAGTTTCAACTAGTTTTGCAAAGTGAGCTCAAG